TCGTGCTAGGTGCTGTGCAAGCAGAGGCAGGCTGAAATCCCGGGCCTTGCTGAAACTCATGGAAAAAAAAAAAAAGTCTCCCCAAGTTCAGGGTTTTATTCCAGGTCCTGCCTAGGGCGAGCCGATAACGAAATCTTTCTGTCACCTGGCGCTCAGATGTCTGTGATCCTGCACGGACTCGCTGCTCTGTGTGCTGTGTTTGCTAGTAAGAGCTTGCAAAATCTGAGTTTATTTTGAGCCTTTATTAAAAAGAGGGAAAAAAAAAAAAAAAAGGAGAAAAGGAGAAGCAGCGTGCCCAAGTTTCTCCTGCGGGAATACTAATGCACGTTCTAGAAATAGTCCTCTGCTCATTCACGGGAGTCAGCCTGGTGTGATAAGAGTTCCACCCACGTTGCCTCCGCCTGATTGAGACTATCAAGACGGTGTCGGAAAGCACCCCGTGCGATCTGCCGTTATATAATGCAGCCCAGCTCCGGGGAACTGGCAGAGTTTTGGAATTTGTGTTTGGTCCTAATGTTCTGTAATGTTGGCAAGTGAGATTCCTGCTCCGAGTGAGTGACAGTTGGAGCTTGGAAGCAGGAACATTTGCCCACCAAAGTTGCTGAACTCACCCACTGCCAAGTCTGTCACTAAATTAGCAGATAGGCAGGGACAGCAGTACGTGGCATGAACCGTGCCGCGCTCCTTTGCACCTTCAGGTCCCAGTCCTGGGTGCCCGCCTGTGAGATGGAGAAAGGCCACACTTCTCAATGTTAATTTTATGTCCCTTTCTACAGCAACCTCTAAGAACCACAGGTGCTTGAATGTAGAGAGGACCACACTGTTTCTCAGGCAGAGAGCTGAGTTATGAGGAAAGGGACGGCTACATTTTGGCAGATTTAAATCTAAGACTAATTTTTACAGCATGAATCTTCTCACCTGCTGCAGTTTATTGCCATTGCTGTGGGACAGGGATGGGGTGCCCACCTCTGCTCTCAGCTGCTCCAGGGCATGAGCTGGTGTCTCAAGGGTCTGGTTGATACAGGACAACCTGAGGCGGGATGGGCACTCAGCTAATGAGACAGACCCTTCTCTAAGGTTAGCTTCCCCTTGGAGGCAGCCTGAAACCCACCATGGCTCTGATTTTGCTGAGGTGTAGGGCCACATTTCCTCCACCTGACTTTGTTCAGGGGCTAGGAATCTGTAGGCAAAGAGCAGCTGATAACATGGTCAGGGTGAGAGCAGCTCCAAACGCTGCAGCACGGCTGCGAGGCATCCCCTGCAGCTTGGGCAAAGAATGGTTGTGGAGGAGCAGGTGACACAAGTTTGTGTCAATCCACAGAACACAATCACTAGGTCATCTTCTGTGCTGGCCTGGGTCTGTTTTCACCCGCCCTTCCAATCTTCCAGGGTTTCTAGGTGTTAGCAGTTAGCATTTGGGCATTTCTCACTGTGTTCACCTGCCGCTTTTACTGGGTTTGTTAGTACAACCCAGCAAAGGACAGCAGCGCGCAGGAGGTACAGAGGGCTGGAGATGCTCGCTGTGGCCCGGAGGTGCTGCGGGGGTGGAGGCAGACACGCAGAAGATGCAGCTTGTGGGGTGCAGTGGGGCAGTGATGGGGTGCGTCGCCCTTGCTCCACGGCTCTCCTGGGGAGCTCCCAGCCCCAGCTGTGCCCTCTGGCCCTGTCTTTGCCGCCGGTGCCGGGACCAGCTCGGAGGCAGCTCAGCCCCCTGCCCCCGGACGCGCCGGGGCTGACCCCGCTGCCATCATCAGCCTCTCCGGCAGCGCCGGGGGCCATCCGACCCCCCCTTTCCGCGGGGTGGCTGAGCCCAGGACACCGGCGGGGGGACTCGGCGGGGGGACCCGGGTTTCTGGGCGGGCTCAACCCGGTCCTGCGGCCGGGGGCGGCCCCGCATCCCTCCCCATAGCGCCCGGCGCTGGGCTGAGGCTGTAGCAAACTCCCTCTCGCAAGAGCTGTTTGTTGACCACATTCACGTTCAGAGCCCTGAAGCTAAAAGCACTTTACACCATAAAATAAAAGCACTGTCTTTTTTTCTAAAAGGTTACGTCTGGAGGCCACGCTGCTCATACTTCATACAGAAAACTACTGAAAGGGCTATGAAATCCTCTATGATTTACACTCCCTCTCAGTGCATTAGGATATAGATCTACTCGACTCTAAAAATACTGTGGAGTTTCTAACCGACGTGAATATATGTGCATTATTTCAGAAAGTCTGTTAGAAAACTTGTCAACACATTATAAAGCATAAACCAGGACTTGGCCATTAAATACAGAGATCAGAGACAAAATGTATATGGCAGGAAGTACCGAGAAAAGTCCCTCCATTCAAAAAAAAAGTCTATTAGCTAAAAGTTTACACACAATATACACCAAAAGGTTTAGAGCGAGACCGTGGACCGCAATTACAAGGCATAAATGGAATCAGTAGGGGCTTTACAGTCCCCAGCGCAGTTAACTGGGCTGCCAGAAAATAATTTTAATATTGTCATAATTTATTACCCACCGAAAGCCACATCAAGGATTGTAAATACAGTCACTTTGTGTCCACGACTGCTCGTTAAACGGCCTCGTTCCCTTCCCCTAAAAATACAATGAAATAAAAACCCACCTGCATTATTAATCTGCGGTCATGCCGTGTTAAAAATGTCTTCTCACTCCTTTTCTTTCTTGAGGTTTGTTATCTCCCTCCAATCACATGACAATGCGAAGCGCTGTGGGGTGGGGTGGGGGGGTACAGGAACGAGGGGGAGCCAGCACTATTGCGATCAAATGCTAATATTAATAATTATCCAGCCAGGATGAAATATTATTTTTAAGGCAGCGAGTTTCCATTTAAATCGAGGCATTTTTACAGTGCTGGAATTAAGGGCATGCTGATGGTAAGAACATCCTCGCTGCCGTTCATGAAAGCATCTGTAAAATTAGCTCTTGACTGTAGGTTTTGAGATGCGGTCTGGGAAGTCACCTCTGGAATCTCAAACACGGCACGATAATGAAACAGATTTAGTTGTCACCAAGTGCTTAATTTGCTATGATTTTTGAAAAAGAAAATCAATGAAACGATGCCTGTGATTGGGAATAAGCACAGGTAGGTGTTCTGATGCAGGTTGGCTTTAGAGAGCGTAATGAATTGTAATTCAGAGGAGTGTTAACTGCGAACCGCAGAACCTTTCAGGGGTAATAAAGTCATTACTTTTTACATTGTAGCCACCTTCAAAAGCTTTATACGTGCCATTAGATATAAATCAAGCCCCATATATATGTATCTGCATCTCCGGTACAGGCACACACGCCCGTGTTTTCGCGCAGGGACATGTGCACGCCCGGCACAGCCAGCCTCGCGAGCGGCGTGAGCCGCTGTTTGTCACCTGCGGCTGGGTCCCCCCGCCACGTCCCGCATCTGCTCCCGCACCCTGCCCCGGCAGCCGCGGGGCGCATCCCCGAGCCGATGGATAAAGGAAGGGAGCGGGGGCCGCGGGGGGGCCGAGCGGCGGCGGGCGGAGCCGGGGGGCGGCTGGCGGGAAGCTGAAACCATCCCACGGCGGAGCGGCTCGGCCCCGGCCCCTGACAGCCCCGCCGCTGCGCGCTCGGGCTCGCCCCGCCAACAGGTCCCCGCCGAGCCCCGGCCCCCGCCGCCCCTTCGCTCCCCCGGGCGGCCGCGGCTCTGCCCGGCAAAGTCTCCCTTACGGCGGCGGGCAGCTCCTCGTCCCCCCGGGCTCTCGTCCGGCGCTCCGCTCCGGCTGTCCGCCGCCGTCCCGGGCACGGTTACCCCCTCGCACTCCCTTGGCAGCCGCACTTTGCTCCGCACACCCGTTCGCCTCCTGAGCTTATTTCTACCGCAACCTGATCCCTCCCGGTGCCGGCAGCGTCCGCCTCGCTCCGGGTTCTTTCGGCGAAGTTGCAGCCGCCGCCGCCGCATCCTCCCAACTCGAGCCACTTCTCGGTGCCTCCTGCCGCCTCGCCTCCCCCCCTCTCCCGCCCTCCCCCGTTGCCAGCCTGCTGCCCGCGCCGCCCCGCCGCCGGCAGCCCCGCGTTTCGCTTTCGTTCAGAGCCCGTGGCTGCGGGCAGGGCTCGGAGCGCCGCCGGGAGAGGAAGGGGGTTCCGGGGATGGCGGGCGCTAGCAGCCCGCGAGGAAAGCTGCGAGGTCCCGCCGCCCTCCGCTCCCCCCGCGCCCAGCTCCTGCGGCTTCTCCTCCCGTGCCTGCCGCTTCCTCGCCCGCCAAACTCCGCTCGCTGCTCCCCCGCCCGCCTCAGGGCAGGGGCCGCCGCTCGCCGCCGAAGTTTCCAGCGGCCCGGCCTGAGCCCCCGCCGCCCCCCAGCTCCCCGCGGGGCCGCCACCGCCGTCCCCCGGGGACGGGCCGCAGCTCCCGGGAGGAGGGGACTCGGCGGCTTCGAGGAGGATGGGGGAGGCGAGCGGGGAAGCCGGGAGCCGGATGCCCCCCCCCCCTTGCTTTTTGGGTGGTCTCCGGTCCTACCTGGCTTCCCCCAGCTCCCCCACCTCCTCGGCACAGCCCGCGGCCAGCCTGCCCCGCAGCCCTCTCTGCCCGGCTCTGGCTTCACCGAGATGTGTTTGCTTTTCCACAGCGGGGGTGTGCGTGCGAGAGCTGCCGCTGCCTGCCTGCCTGCCTGCTCGCTTTCTCCTGCTCCTTTTCCTCCCTTCTCTCTCCCCGTGTGCGTGTTTAATTTCCCCCCCTCGCCCCTCTCCGGGTCCCCTCTTGCACCCGGCTCCTCCGCGGCCACTCGCGGCTCCGGCCGCCGCCCCCTCCGCCCCCGGCCCCCCGGCTCCATTCGGCAGCGTGCGCCGGGCGGCCGGTGCACCCCCCCCTCGCCGCGCCCCCTCCCCTCTCCCCCTTGCGATCACTGTCCATTGGCTTGTCCTGCTCTCTTTTTCATGTCCAGCCCCTGATGAGTGTCCATTGGTGTTGCCTTCGCCTTCCCTCCTCCCCTCTCCCCGGCTTGCCCTGCCCATGTTTTGTATGTCTCTGTCCATCCAGGCTCCTGACGTTCAAGTTCGCAGGGACGTCACGTCCGCACTTGAACTTGCAGCTCAGGGGGGCTTTTGCCATTTTTTTCATCTCTCTCTCTCCTTCTCTCTCTCCCTCTCTCTCTCTCCCTCTCTCTCTTTTTTTTCCTTGCACAAGAAAAAAAAAAAAAAAAAAAAAAAAAAAAAAAAAAAAAAAGCCATGACTGCTATCCCACAATTCATCTTCCCTGCGCCATCTTTGTATTATTTCTAATTTATTTTGGATGTCAAAAGACATTGATGAAGATATTTTCTCTGGAGTCTCCTTCCTCTCTAACCCGTCTCTCCCGATGTGAACCGAGCGACTCACAAGCCACCGAAGCCACCAACCCACCATGTCGCGCCGCAAGCAAGGCAAACCCCAGCACTTAAGCAAACGGGAATTTTCACGTAAGTAACCCAGAGAGCAATTTATTTAATTTCCTCTTCACGGATTTAATTTTTAATTCGAGCGAGAGCAGGGAAAAAAATAATTTAAAAGTGAGAGCGAGTGAGCGAGTCGAGGAAAAAAAATTAACTCAGCGCCGGCTCGGGATTCTCTGCATTCTGGTTAATTTCTCCCTCTCTAATTTAATCACCTTGATGACTTTTCTTCTCTTTCTGCCCGTGTCCCTCGCCCGCCGGCGCGCACTCCGATGCCCCGCTCCGCGCTCGCCTCCCGCTCTCCGCGCTCTTTGGCAGCAAGAGCGGCAGCTCTCGCCCGGCACCGGGAGAGGCGCGGGCGAGGTGCGGGGCTGCCGGGAGCACAACCGGCCGAAAGTGGGAAAAAAAATTCCTGCGGGAGCGGCGGGCTGGATGCTCGGCGGCCGGGCGGGCGGGATGTGCGGGCGAGCGGAGCGCGGAGAAAGTCCGGCGGCCGGAGCCCCCCGGGCTGCCGGCGGGCTCGCCCCCTCGCCCCGCGGCGCCCTCCCGGGGGTGGTGGGGGGTGGGGGTTCCGCCGCCCCCCGCTCCACGCCGCCCCGGGCCGGCGCCGTGCGGGGCTCCGCCGACCCGACCTCGCCCCGCGCCCGCCCCGCCGCCGCTCCGGCTAGGGCTGGGGCGGGGGACGGCACCGGGCGGCGAGGGAGCCGAGCCGAGCCGCGCCGCGCCGGCTGGGATTCCCTGCTCGCCCTCGCCTCGCGTTCTCCCGCTCGCTTACTATTTTTTGGAAGATTTTCAAAAAAAAAAAAAAAAAGTGGAAGTGGATTTTGATTGGGAAAAATCTCGTGTCTGAATGTTTACAAGCACCGCGTGTGCGGGGAGCCTCCTGCCAACAAACACAGGCGAGAGCGAGCCCGGGCTGAGCACACACGCGCGCACACACACACGCACACACACACTCGCACCCTCACACCCGCGAACGGCCCTTTCTCGCCGCCGCATTTCAACCCCAAACCAAATCCGCTCTCCCCGGGAGAGAAAAAACAAACCCCGAGCCCCACCACACCGTTCGCAACAAAAACTCTCCGGCTCCCTCCGTCCCTCCCTCCAGCCGCCACCACACACACCAGGGCTAGATGCAAGATAAGCGGGAGCGCTCTTTGCACAACAAAAGGCAACTCGAGCTGGAAAGGTTTGGGGCGAGGGGGGTGGGAAGGAAGGGAGAAAAAAAAAAATCCCCTTTTCCTCGGGGTGAGCCTGGGGGAAGGGGAAATGCTGCATGCTTTTCCTCACTCCTTTCCCCCCGTTTTCTTTATTTCTTCCTTTCTCTATCTCTCATTACTCCCGGCGGGTTTTGTTCCCTCCCAGGGATGGCAGAAAACCCAGGGCCATTTCTTCCTGCCAGCCATCCCCGGCTCCCTCGGCCCTTCGCAAAACCCCCCAAACTTTCCGCCGCGATTTCTCTTCCCCCGCGGCCGCCCAGACAGACACTGCAGCCAGGTTCGCACATGGAGCGAAGGAAGCAGCGCCGGCTCTTTGCAGGCGGCCGCTCCGCCGCGGGCAGGGCTGGCCGGGGGCTCTGCCTGCCCAAAGTTTGCCCTAAAACCCGGGGGCTGTCGGGGGCTCAGCCCCTCCCCCCGCCCCCAGCCGTTTTTCCGCTCTTTTCCCGGCTACTTTTCGGGGAGATCTTATTTTTAATTTTTTTTTTTTTTTTTAATTTTAATTTTTCATTGCTTGGCTGAGTATGGGGTGCAGCATCACCGCCTTATGGGGATTGGGGGCCCCCCTGGAGATGGGGTACGGGGGGTGCTTTTCCTGGGCAGCCGTGGAAGCGGGGTGCGGAGAACGGGGATGGCGGCGGGACCGGAGGAGGGGGGTGGGAGGCTCCGACCCGGCCCCCGGCGCGGCCGGGCGGGATCCCCGCGGCCGCTGCTCGCCGAGGAAGCCGCGGGCCGACGCGGAGCGGCCGCACGTGCGGGGCGGGAGCGGCGGCCGGGCCGGGCCCGGGGGGTCCCTCCGGCGAGAGCCGCCCCGGCGGTGGGGAGGGGGTGTGGGTGGGCCGGGAGCTGTGGGGGGAGAGGGAGGCCGGGCCGGGGGAGCGGCGCGCCGGGGATGCGGCGGCGGGGCCGGGGCCGGGGCGGCGGAGGCGGCGGGCGGGCTCCGTGCCCGCTTCGGTCGCTAGGAGGCACAGCGAGATCAAACAACCGGGCAGCCCCGCGAACTTGAACCTGGCCGGCTCCTCCGCTGCCTCCCGGCCGGCGGGAGGGGGAGGGCGCCCAGCTCCCTCTCAATGTTCTGGCACCCGCCCTGAGGCCCCCCCCCCCCCCCCCCACGCCCCCCTCCCTCTTCTTCTTTGTTCTTAATTTTGCGCGGAGTTTGCTTGCTCCGGGAGGCAGCGGGGGATGCTCGCCTTCCCCCTCCCCGGGTTTCCCCTCCCTCCCCATAACGTGTTGGCGGTTCCCCATTGTACCCTCAAGTCTCCCTTTCCTTGCACCGCACGATCCGAAGACACAAACTTGGGGATTAAGCAGCCCTTCTCCATCCTTCCCACGGTACGGTGCGGGGAAATGCCCCGGCAGCGCATCCGCATCGCCCCGCGGGCATTTCTCCTCACCGTAGTGTGGCACCCCTCCTCCCCGCCCCATCACCCCCAGTACCTCCTTTCTCCCGGCACTCCAAAATCCATCCCGCTTTTGCCCGTGCGGTTGTTTTGGTGGCTGGGAACAGGGGGAAGAAGGCGGGAGTAGGAGGGCGAAGGGGGAAAGCTGAAAAGACATGTTGGTGGAAGGGCAATTTGCATGAAAAATAGAGACGGATGATTAGGGACCCAGGCAGGGAATTTTGATTGCCCCAGAATTAAAAGATGCATCCTGCAAATCAGAGGCGAGACCAGGTGAATTGTATTCCGGTGTTTTCTTTGTAATCCTGGTATTTTATATTATGTTCTAAAAGTAGCAGTAATAATAAAAAAACGTAATTTTTTTGCTGGCTCTGGCTCCATCAGGAGCCAAATGTTTTGCAGCGAACACAATGCCAGCTGTATTTCATACATTACTATATAATTCTTGTTAATTAGCAATAATTTACGTTAAGAGCATAGAAAATGTTGAGGTTACAGGTTTTATATCTGTACATTTGATCATCTTGTTATTTTCAAGAACTTTGCCTCCTATAAAATTAATTAGGTGAAATGTGGAGGTGTAATCAGCAACCTCTGAATTACCACTTCATTTCCTGGTTTTGATTGTAAATCAGCCCAGTCTGTACAGACTTTTAGCAAAGTCTATTTTTGTTCAGTGCCACTTTTAACTGTCTGGTGTCGAAGCAGCGGGTTACCTTCCCCTGCTAAATAATAGTGACAGCGTCAGAAAGGAATCAGGCCGCGGGAAAACATTATAATTGAGTAATGATTATGCAGAGCTCCTCGCTAAGCCAGTTGTAAGGGGAGCACGGGTGGTTTTGTGTCTTTTTGCTGCGGAGAGTCGGTGAGCTCGAAGTTAAGATTCGCAAAATACCTTTGTCTGCGGCGTGCAGCGAGCTACCGGTGGAATTAGTCCTGCCATAATTTACTCCCTCGCTCCGAAGGCGAGGAACGGCTTGGGGAGAAAAACGCCGTGCCCGGCAATCCCGCAGAAACACCCTGCTCCTCTCTCTGCCGGCTTCCCGAGGAGCGTGAGACGCACGCTGTGCCTCCTCTCCTGTCGGTCTGTAAGTTTAGAAGAAAGCCCCAGCGATTAAGACGTTGTTTTTATTAATACGAATGTAACCTTCATATTCCTGTGGTTGACCTTACGTTAAATTAGAAGTAGTACTAGAGGCAAGAAATGATGGACTGGATCCCTGTGTCCTAGTTGGAGCTGAGGTACGGCGAGGTAGTGTGCTCTTTCAATATTATTTTACGCAGCACAACTGGGAGCTACTCCAGATCTTCCTCCTCAATATTCAGCCTAGGTAGGATTGAAATAAATTTAACCTGAGTTCACTGGATTTTTGCACTTTATCAAAATCAGTTCCAATATTGTGCAGTCAAATTAAAATCTATTTTTTGATTCTCTGTGGCTTTAAGTTCATTAAATGTGAAATTGGCAGCCAGCTAAAGAAGGTCAGGCTGATTAACTGTTTAGGAGTTGTATTCTGTCTCACTTGCATTACCTGGCAGTGTTTTGAGGTGGGCTGTATTTGTAGTACCCTCTCCTCCTGCTCGCTGCTGTTAGCGTGTGTGTAGTGTTGTGCAGACAGAGGAGCACCAACACGCTGCTGGTATTTATTTTTTTTCCCCCTCGTGAAAGGCAGTGCTGATGGAGACTGTACAGAGATTGCCAAGGTATTTCTCTGCAAATTTAACGTAAAAAAAAAAAAAAAAAAAAAAGCCAACAGAAAAGAGAGCCGAGTCTGCCTCGTTAAAGCATCCAGTGACGATTCTGTGAGCAGAAATAGCCTCATAATGAAGCTTTTTGGAGCTCATTCAGAAAATTTGTCAACTTTGACAACATTAGGCAAGGTATTTTGAGTTTAAAGAAGGCGCTTCTCACTGTTGCGAGGAAATGTGGCAGTTGCTTGGCCAGGCTGATTTTTAGATGCTGAAGGCCACCAGTGCTAACATGTTCAAGATAATTTAGGCATTCCCTTATTTCAGGATTAAAAAATGCAAAATGACTGATTGCCTGATTTCCTTAATTAGTAAAAAATATCTCACCCAGCTGATATCTCTGAGTGGACGTGGTGGTGAATTTGCTGTTTATTTGGATCCTGACAAGTAGCTCAAAAGTGAGAGGTGCCTCCCCCTGCCCCGCAGGCATTTCTGCTGCACTTGCTTTGTATCATTTCGGTTTTCTGCCGTGCATATATATATATATATGTATATATATTTATTTATTTGCCTCATACCCTCCCCCTCCCCCCCTGCCCCCATCCCGTGTATAACTACTGCCTTTAGGATTTTTTTTAAATTGGAAGCTGCGAAACGGGCCGATGGGGACAGTGACACAGATCCACGCGTTTCTGTCTGCACGTGCGTTCTGAGGGCTGGACGTGCCCCGTGTGTGTCGGTGCCTGGCTGTGTGTGCCCATGCAGGCTGCTGGCTCTTCTCCCCCTCTTTCTCTTCTACACACATGCACATGTTACCTGCATGGCCTGTGCAGGGAATGTGCGGTGTCTGTGTGTACTGAAACACCTTCTGTCTACACTCTGTTTCTGAATTTTAGAAAGTGGGTCTCGTCTGGCTGCTGGGAGATACACACCCATGTGTGTGAGAGTGTGTGCAGTGCTTTTAGCCTTGAATTCATGTACATAAATAATACATTCAGCAATAAAACACCATATTCCCATCCTGTCGTAGTACCACAAGAGTTTCGCAGTGTATTCTTTCAGCCTTTCCATTTAATTTTAGCACGGAACCGTTCACAGAGTCAGAAATGTGCCCTCGTGTAGGAGCACGGAGACAGTTGCGGTGCTCGCCCTCCGAGTTCTCCATGCTACAGCTGCTCCTGCAAAATCTCTTGCCTGTAGCTGATGAATCCCTGTCCCCGGTGCCGTGCTGACAGCCGTGTTGCATGGGTTTGGTCGGGGGGGAGCAGGCGGACTCCGGAGCGGGGTGTAATATTCATGAAGAGGGGGCTCGGCGCGTTCCTCCCCCCGCGCCCCGTGCCTTTCCGAGAGCTCTAACCATTCTCCTTTTGTTTCTCAAACCGCAGCCGAACCTCTTGAAGCCATTCTCACTGATGACGAACCTGAACATGGCACATTGGGAGCTCCGGAAGGGGACCACGACCTCCTCACTTGTGGCCAGTGTCAGATGAACTTTCCGTTGGGGGACATTCTTATTTTTATTGAGCACAAACGGAAACAATGCAATGGCAGTCTCTGCCTAGAGAAGGCTGTGGATAAGCCACCTTCACCCTCACCAAGTGAGCTGAAAAAAGCATCCAATCCTGTGGAGGTTGGCATCCAGGTTACGCCAGAGGATGACGATTGTTTATCAACGTCATCTAGAGGAATTTGCCCTAAACAGGAACATATAGCAGGTAAATGAAAGCAAGGAGAAGTGTTTGCGAGTTTATTTCTGTTTCAGTCGCACTGTAGCGTGTTGGCAGTCCGTGCACTGCCGTGTCTGTGTGTTCTGCACGCCGTGAGGGCCGGGGGTGTCCATGCCCTCCCTGTCTCGGGTTAGCCGTGTTTCCCGGTGCCTGCGCAGCGGCAGGAGCAACAGGCACGTGCCGTGCCCGCCGGTGTTCCTGGCCGTATTGTTTGAGGCCACTCTCGTCATTTGCCTGCATTGTAGTCACCGGCTCCCGGTGTCCCGCCTGCCGGAGCGCCGCGGGAGGAGGATGCCGAGGCTGCCGCTCGAGAAAGCGAGGAGCTTTTGAGTCTTTGGCAAAGTCAGGGGTGAAAGAGTTAACCGAGCATCCGCCAGCCTTGGTTCCATATTGGCTGTCAGCGTATGGACTGTAATTAAACACAGCCCCATGGCAAAGTGACACCACCGACCTTGACTTTAAGATGCCATTTTCGACTGGCCAGGCCAGAGTAGAGAGGGCAGTTGCTGAAGCGCACAGACATGCTTATTCGAAAAGTTTAAGGGCATGTTGGAAATTTCAAAAGGTTGGTTTGACAGGAAAGGCTGCTCTCTGCAGCCTGCCTCCTCAGCCAAATGATAAATGCTTCGCTGTGCTCTCTCTTGTCTCTGATGTGGTTTTGACAGATGTATCTTGATTTTGTTTGCGGTTTACACAGCCACATGTCAGCCGTACAAATGTCCAAGGCAGAGTTCTGTTCTGTGCAACAAACAATATGAAATGTAATTTAAAAAAAGAAAAAAGGGTAAATAATTCCGTTTCATAGCATAATTTTTTTTTTTAATCGGAAAGCCATTGGCCATGCAGATATTTTCACAAATGAGGTTAAAAAAATAGAAGTATACCGTGCAAAAGAAAATCCCAGAGCCCTGGGAGTGTAACAAGGCACGCTCTTCTTTTAAAACCCTACTAGTAAACAAAAGTACTGCCCATTTGCAGCAAGCATTTCAGATCACTTCAAACCACGCCAATGCTGCCAGTCGAAAAAGGCGAGACCACGGTGTATCGACCCCAACAAATGCCTGAACCAGTTTCAAGCTCCCTCTCCAGTGGTGTTTGGGATGTGGCAGTGCCAGTGCCTGTCTTCGGGGAGCCCGGGTTTGTCAGAGGCGCAGTACATCATCACATGATGTGCTGGAGCTTGTCTTGGGCTTGCTTTGGCCACAGAGTTAAACCATAATAGGGCAGTAGGCGCTGGGAGGTTCAGCGGGATCCTCCCGCAGCCTTCCCCGGCCTCCAAGCCGTGTTGGAGAGCTGCAGTTTTGGGGCTTTTGTGGTGGCAGCAGATCCGTATCGGTGCACGGGTGTCTGCCTGCACACGTGCCTGTGTGCAGAGCCATGTGCGAGCACATGCAGACGTCATGTGAACGAGCGTGTGCTGTTTCTGCAGAGTAATCTCTCTTTCCTTGGAACGGGAATATCTCTGCGTTTAACAGGAGACACATGCTCAGCTACTGCTAAGCTACGTTTTGAATGAGACTTAAAGCCCCCCCCAGTAATTCCCCGCGTTGCGCTTCCCAGACACGGATGTGAAAGGTGAGGTTTCTTTCCCTGAGTGGCAGAGGGCAGTGCCCATTTCCATGTGCTGCCTGCGATCTGACGGGAAGCGAGCAGAAGCGTGGGGCATGATTAATGAAGCGGGAGCCTGGCGGAAGGGATTTGTAGTCTTCCAAGCTCTGGAGCCATACTAAATCACCAAATATGGAGGAGCGGTGGTATGATGTAACGCTGTATTTACGTACGGCGCCGCTCCGCTCAAAAGACAAAACACAGTATCTGTCAAGCAAGAATTAAACATGCTGTCGTCCCCGTGGTCCCAGATAGGTCCCTGGGCTGGAGGGATGGCCACACCAGGGGGAACCTCCTCTTTGCCCTGGCATTCATTTGGCGCGGGAGGCTCAGCGAGCCAAGTCTCGCCTTGGCTTGGTGCAGGTGACGCCAAGCGAGGAGGATTTGGGCTCAAGCGCCGTCACGGGGCCGTTAATTCGGAAAGGGCCGTGGTTTTATCTGCCTGTAAATGCTCTGCTGAGCCCAGGATGGCAGGGCCTCATCCTGCTCGCTTCTACTCATAGGTGGGCTTGACTGGGAGCAAGTTTGGTGCCGTGCAGGAGAGCCCACGGAGCAAGCCGTGAGTGTGTCTTGAGTGGAGATGGAGTTGTGGTTGTCAGGGCCCTTCTGCCCCAAGGTTTCTGGCTGTGGTGCCCGGCCATGCCTGCCTGTAGGGATGGGAGGTCCAAGAATGCAGGTTCTCTGCACCTCCCTGGCAGGGCTGCAGCCCAGCAGCGCTGTGGTCCCTTGGTTATTCCTGTTGGTTGGAAATGCAGCCTGGCTTTGGGAAAGGGAAAAGGTGCACCAGGAGTTACAGGGTCTTGCACTGTTCTTCCCCTTCGTGTTTTCATCACCCTTTTCGGTTGGGTGAGTTCAGCTCCCTCGTGTCACAAAGAAGTGTGGTGATAGCTGGAGTGACCCATTGCTCGTAGCCAGTAGTTTGAGGAGTCTGGCAGTAAAATTTCCAGTGAAGGTCTTGGAGCCTGAACTGTGAAGTTCAGGCTTCCTGAAGGCCCCTGCAAAGAACCTCAAACTCTTCCAATTCAGCTGTTTATATCTGATTTCTGTGCAAGAATGCAAAATGCAAGATTTGAGTGTGTAATTAAGGGGAAAAAAAATTGGTAAAGGCTGCCTTTGGAAAAACACACAGAAGTTGGGGAAGCGATTCTTTCTGCTGAGAGACCATAAAATACGTATTTTGTAGCGATATAAAAATGTTCCAAATTAGCTGTGAGGCCAGAAGAGGTGTTTCAGGTTAGCCCTGGATGCAGAGGTGCCGTGGGTGAGCTCTGGGTGCAGTTTTTTTTTTCCCTGCCTACAGTTTTGTAGTCAGTAAGTTGACAGTAAAAGAGAATCTTAAGTAATGGTTAAAGATCTACAGACAGGAAGGAGGCAGCAGCTCATTCAAATGCAGAGAGAAATGATACCTGTTTTAACTGGTTAAGCTGCTCTTTATTTTGCTATTTTCCAGAGACAGGGATGAGGACGGGAGCTTTTATGTGTGTGTGCAACCTGTGCAGCAGCCGTGGGATCCGTATAGGTGCAGACATGTGTCCATACCTGGCTTTTCCATGTGGGTGTCTGCCTGTGCACAGCTCTGCCTTGCTATAAAATTTTGAGTGATGCTGATCCAGCACTGGAACTGAAATGCCATAAATTTAACTGAAAATTAATAGGATATGTTGTGTGGGTCCAACGAGGCAGCTTTCATCAATATGTATGTCAAAGCCTCACCACCAGATACTGGCAGCCCGTGATTTGCAGTGAGGGCGACGGCAGGGCTTTAGTTATCCGTTCTCATATTTTACAATAGGGGGAAATATTAACTGAAGTATCTGGAGATCAGTGAATGTAAAATCGCTGTTCACTTATTGAAAAGGCTGAGGAAATATTTATCGCCTGCCCGTGTCAGGTTTTGGTGGTTTGTTTGTTGAATGTATAAATCCGAGGGAATTAATGAAAGGTTGGGGTTTGGGTGAAGAAGGTTCTCAAATGTTACTTGGATGCAGTTGGGGGAACACTTTTGGAGTCCTGCTGCGAATTCCCCTGTATAATGCCGAGTGTGGATCCGTGGATGCTCTATTTACTGTACAAAGAGGGGAGGAGGAGGGGAGGTCATTTTTACTGCTCGAATCCTATATTCTCAAGCTGCTTGTGACATTCAAATAAAACACGTGGGAAAATAATGTAAGAAATCCCTCTGTCTGCTGCAGTCGGGGAAAGGTGAGCATCATTTGGTACTAAATTTCAGACTGAGCATATTTGATTATTACAGTTCTCAGGTGGTAATGTCTTTAAGCAGAGATTTTCTTGGGCTGTTATTACTAGTTGCCATTATAATTCTGTAGGGTAGTGATTGTCGATTTTTTGTTTTGTTCTGGAGACAAAAAATACTGCTGTCTGCACTAAATAGTTAGCATTGCATCTGAACAATAAGGTGAAAGCTTTAAGAGAAGTAGGAATATAAGAAGATTTTGAAGTCAAATTCTGTCTGCTTTCCCCATACAAAGAAACAGAGAGAGCAGGCTGGGTGAAATATTGCAGGCAGGAGAAAATAGTGAGGGTGCTACCCAAAGGCTCCTGCTCCCGAGATTTGGAGCGCTGCGTACAAGCTGTATTTGTAAATAAGACAGAGAAAGGTTGTGAACCGGCAGCTTGGCTGTTTTGTCAAAGTACAATGTCAGAGAAACTCTTTCTAAGACAAATTGTAAATAGAAGTGTCACGATGATTGCATGATTGAGCTCTAGAAGTGTCTTGCAATTGTTGGCATTGTCAGAAGACTTTTGAAAGCTTAATTAAAGGCGGTGGCCTGTGTGGCTGTGAAATTTACTTCTGGGGGGGAAAAATGTAAAAAATGTAGGGATCAAAAAGTTGCTGTAATGCTGCTCGCGCAGGGATACAGAAGAGAGTCAATAGTTTCCCTGCTTTCCCCGTTGCCTTTTATAAATAGCGTTTTTTGAAGAAGCAAGCACGTGACACCAATATCATCCTTTGTACGAGGTAAAGATTGTGTTAGTTTTCCTATTCCCTGCTGTTCCAGACAGTTAATGTAAAAATGGCTCTTTATTGGAAACACAAATATGAGTTCACTCGAAGCACAGAAGCAGGGTAGAAAGTTTGCCTCTGCCTTCCGGGGGAGCATCACAGTGTTGCAGTGCCCTGAATATTTCTGGTGGGTTTCTTTTCGTTACCTGCAAATCAGATCTTCTGAGAGGATGGGAAACAAATTTTGTGTTCCTTCTGCTATTGCATGGGACACTGAATTGTGGAGCTGTCCACGAGCAGAAGGATCACTGCATCCGAAATGCTGATGGTTCAAGAGGCAGCCGGGCACATAAGCTCCAATAAAGCTCCAGTGTAGATCTGGAAAGGTGCACGTTGGCATCACGTGCCGAAAGCT